TTTTTTTGTTACAGATTCAGAGTTGGCCTGATGAACTCACGTTCCCTGAGAAATTCATTCTACTTATCCAAAGCACCTGGATAAAGACAGGATTTCCACAAGCACACATACAGCTCCCAATGGGGTCTTAACTCTCTTTTGCCCATACATGTATTTTTACCAGTACATGTATACTGGTTATGTCCTTAGCACAAAAGTCTTTAAAATGATGGAACAGATAGTAAGTCCCTACAGTTTCCATATGAGGTTAGATTTTGCTCTTACAAGTCATTGTCACATTTGTCATCAAATAAGTCTGGAGAAAAGCAAGGTCGACTTTCTCAGTCCCACTTTACAGGTAAGGAAAATTCTAAAAGCGATGCCTGAATTTCCCAAGGTCCACTATCAGTAAAAGGCAATGACCCAGTTAGAATGCTACACCACTCCAACTATGTTCAGGTCACTTCTTCAAGATTCTTGACCCAGGTTATTGGGACAGTGTTAAAGACAAGAAGAGTCAAGTTGAGCTGAGTCTTCAAGGGAGGACAAGGAGGAAAGTCAAACACATTCTCTTTCAAGATGAGTACATCTCACTGTCTGACCATAGTAATTCTTTAAAAGGCTTTCTCTAGAACTTACAATCTCCTTGGGTAACACGACCTGTGTTATGTGCCTCTGCCCAATGGAACTGTGAGTTCTGTGGGGACAGGAGTCCTAGTTCTTTCCCCTTCACCAAAAGTAATATCTGTCACTTGATAGGCATCACTAAATATATGTTGAACTGAAATAGAATCCATCTCATTAGTGATCTAAAATGGTGGCTAAGATAGGATTCATGTCTAACAAGCTTTTATTGAACAAGAAAATAAGTGACACAGTGAGTAAAGACAATATTTCCTAACAGAAAATACTGAGTCACACAGTGATCTAAAGGATGTGTTTGTAATACACAAAACAGATAAGTGATTTTCTTTACTTACTTAATGAGGAATATACTTTCTATAGTGAAAATAATCTGGATTCTTGAGAAAAATTAGAGTAGAATGACATTAGGAGGGTTAGAGCCATTACAAAGAAGATTGGATCGTAATGGAATTATGAAAATCCAGAGGATCAATTAGATCTCTTAAGGCAAAGTTGTGATTCTGTGGTGGTGGCACAAACACGAGTTCCCTTATGTACCCAAGAGTAGACCCAAGCCAGGTCTCAGCGTCCAATCCACACTCTGCTGTGCGGGTTCCCCGCCAGCGTGTGCTTATGGACAGAAACAGATATTAAATCAAACATCCTGAGGGAGACCCTGGAATGGCCATTCCACAGGACTCCCTCATTTGAGTGAGTGAAGAAGAGAATCATGTTTCTGAGGCTGGTGATGAAGTTGGTCTCGTGCTGCTTTTCAGACTCCAAGTTCATTGGAAGGCATGAGGTGCTGCAGGTATGGAGAAGGGAGCTGTCCCCAGTGTGGTGACTCGTGACTTCCTCCACCCAGAACTGATGTGGTTCCTGATGCAGCTCAAACTGGAACTCCCCACGTCCTTTCAACCGTGTGCGGGGAAACTGTGGCAGGCCTGGAACAGCGAGGGCTGCAGCTGCCTCCTGTGTGTCCACCTGGCTGCCCCTGCTTTACCAGGGATCCCAGGACTCGGCAACTATTGCTTCCGGAATGTTCCATGTCTGGATTTTAGTGAGGCCCCTAACCTGTCAAACTTCCCTAAGGGAGACTAGTGAGGCAGCTGTCAATTGGTTCTGACTTGCTTTCTACTTCTTCCCAGAAAACTGACAGTAAGCAAACAAAATACATCTCTGGAAGAAATGGTCAAAAGCCTTCTTTCCCAAACTATGCCCAGTTACTCCAGTGCTGTGGCCCCTCTTTGTACAAATTCTCTACCATCGCACAGGAGTTTCTCACTGGTTCTCCATCTCACAGTCACCTCGGGCATGGAGAGGAGGCCCTGAGCCATTTCTCCAGTGAGGAAACAGAGACTCATTCAAAACACACACGCAGCCTTTAGTCCCCAGATCTAGGAGATGGAGATCCCAAGCCTTCGGGTGAAACTGCCGATTGAAATTTGGGTGCCAAGTGTCCCCCAGGAGACTGCACATTTCACAGTGCAGTGGGTGTGGAAAGGCACCGATAATTTGGCCCATGGTTGTGACACCGGGGAAAGCAG